GTTTCACAAATCTAATCGGGTTATTTCTAAACAGTCTCAAGGCAAATTCTACTTGACAAGATTCTGACCAATATCACACAAGAAACAAAATAGGCTCAAACCTCACAAGGTAAATATGTTCCTCAAAACAACCAAGCCAATTAATCAAAGTAGTTACTCGATCACATCATCACAACTTCTCAATTCAACCAACAGTTATCAACCAGTCTTACAATACACCAGAATCCAAACTCATAAAAACACAGAAACCTAAAGCTAGACTAGTCCGCCACGCAAAAGAAAGAAATAAAACAACCTAAAAATAAAAACTAAACCTGGTCAACCACATAGCCACATAAATATGCAAAAACTCCCCCACACTTAAAAGCAGACAATGTCCCCATCGTCGACTCGCAGCTAAGGGAAGTTGTACTACACAATCAACCGACTCAACAAAGAAGAGAAAATATAAAAATAAAATAAAAATAAAAAGAGAAAAGAAAAGAAAAGATGACCAATGTTTGTCCCATTTTTGTTGCATTTTTCGTTATTATTTTCTCATTCTTTTTCCCCCAATTTGAGTCATTTAGTTGGTTTTTAGGTTGTTTTGTCGTTTATTGCGTGTTTTGCGTTATTTTGAGTGTCTTGGTGTGTTCCGTTTGTTTTCTGGTCTTTTTCTGTTCTCTTTTCGTTTTTGGTGTGTAGTTTAGAGACCTTGAGAGAACAGATTTTCGAGAATATTTTGAGGAAGCTGACACTATTAGAAAGAGGGGCTTGTTAGCGACGCGTAAACATATGTTCTGTGGTGGTGGTGGCGGTTGACCGATTCCCGGACAATTTACCCTCAAGTGTCCAGGCTTCTTGCAACGAAAACATATGTTCTGCCCCAATAGGCATTCGCCCCGATGCCTCTTGCCACAATTGTTGTATTCCTGCCTATCCACGGCGGGCACTTGCTGCAGTGGTCGAGGTTGGAGAGCTTGGCCACCTTCTTCCTTCTTCTTCGGGTGTTCGGATTTCCTCTTCTTGTTGCTACCCGAAGCTTGAGCCTCCATGACCAAAGTAGATTCCTTTTCTAGCTTGATACTTACCTCAATTTGTAGCGTCCTACCCACAGTTTCTGCATAGGGAAGGTCTCCATGGCTCGCCACTAGGTGTCGGATGGTAGGTTTTAAACCCCTTCTAAACTTCTTCGCCCTTTTATCATCCGTATCCACTAAGTGTTCCACGAAATAGCTTAGCCTAGTGAATTCCCTCTCATACT